GGAGCGACGGGAGACTTCAGTTCTGGCTTCGAGAACGAGCTCCGTACTTCAGCCGATGAGCGAGAAATGGAGACTACTGCCCGGCTTGCACGGGGAAAGGGATCAAGGTCCAGCAGGGACGAGGAAGCTGAAATTGAGGTACGGGGGCCAAAAGAAGCGAAAGGAAAGGGGGGGAAAGGAAAGCGGAAGTCGGGTGATGGCTCTGGCTGTAGTCCCATGTCCACCGCTTCTGGCTCAGTGACCGATAGATATCTCAGGGTCTGTGAAAGCATCGAGTCACTGGTTAGTCGGAAGAAGAGCTCCAGCACGAGTGCCTCAGTTAGTTCTCCGGACAAGAATCGTTCTGGCCGCGATCCATCGAAGAAAACCGACTATGAAATTGCCATGGATCAACTTAAACTTATTGAGAACGTCAATTTCATGGCCAAATACAAGGCAGCTGAGATATTGAAGGATAAACAAGAGCTGGATGTTTGGAATTTAGCTGCAAGTGACGCCGACCGCATCACTTGGATGAAGCTAAAAGGCTGTTTCCCCCCTGACTCTCAGGAGCCCCCTCCCCCACCCCCCTTTTAGGTGCTTTCGTTGTTCATCAGGAGCATTTATTTGAAACTTGAGTTGTTGCCTAATGTTTGTTTGTATTTGAGATCTGTTAGGTGTAGCATTTGCTACCGGAACTTGGACTTTATCCTTTCTGAGTGTTGTGGTTTGTATATTTGAATTTGCGGATGAATACTGGTTTGTTGAGTTGTTGTGTTGCGGATGAATGTTGAGTAATTAAATTCATGATGCCTTTGTTTAAGAATTGGTTTGCGGATTGAAGATTTTTTTTTGTTTCATTTAAAACTGGTTTGTGTTCGTTTCTATTAGGTTGGATATAACAAATCATGGTGATATGACTGTTGTTGGATCGCATTTTTTTTTTTAGGAAATGTACTGGTTGGGCTATTGCTATGTCTGTTTCGAGTGATACTTATTAAGAGTGATAGTTTCATCCATGCAGGTTGTTGGAATGTCAGGAATACGTAGGGCAGTTTTTTCCTTACTTATTGCTATGTTTGTTGTTGGAATGTCAGGAATAGTAGGTTCAGAAAAATTGTAAGAGTTGGATAATAAGAAAGATGTAACGGATAACGTTCCTTACTTGGCGTACAGTTTATATAGTAAAGAATATGTGTCACTTATTTCAAGAATATGTCTAATTTCATCCACGCAGCTCAATTGTGCGACTTACTTCAAGAATTATATGAAGTAATTCAAGTAAGGGACAAAATTCCTTACTTGGCCTGAATTTTCGAATAAAGAATAATCTATCTATCTATCTATCTTAACAAAGATAGAATAAAGAATAAAGAATAAAGATGATCTATCTTAATAAAGAATAAAGAAAATTCCTTACTTACTTTAACAAAGATGATCTATCTATCTTGGCCTGAAATTCCTCTCAACATCCGCTGAAATGGATGTCCATTTCAACAAAGACTTATTCAACAAAAGTCTTTCAACAACTAATTGGCAGATCAATTTCAACATCCGCTGAAATGGATGTCCATTTCAAAGACTTATCTCAACATCCGCTGAAATGGATGTCCATTTCAACAAAAGTCCATTTCAACAAAGACTTATTCAAAATTGAAGTAAGGGACAAGAAAAAAGCAACTTTTGGAAGGAAAATAGGTGCTTTTAGGTATGATGATCATTTTTAGAGCAAGTATTAAGTAGGGAATATGACTTACTTCAACAACTATTTTGAAGAATATGTCTTACTTGGACAATTCTTTCAAGAATACGTGACTTGCTTGAAGAAGATGTAAGATTCTTTTTATGAAGTACGATGCAAAACTTCTACTGGATTCCTCAACTTGTTGGCTATAAATTGGTTGGCGAAGGCTCTAGGCTATTTCAAGAACTTATCGTATTGTCTTACAAACCAATCGAATAGCCTATATATTTCAAGAACTTATCCTCTTGGCTTACAAACCAATCCTCTTGTCTTACAAACCAAGAACTTATCCTCTTGGCTATAAATTTGTTGGCCAATAGGTTTTTGTTCAATTTTGGTCCATGTATATGTTGAATTTTATATTTCCTACTCTGTTTTGGCAAATTAAGATTGGCTTTGAATGATATCTCTGTTTTCCTTTTTTTTTTTCAGATTCACGTCCAATGCAGTCGCACAGATTGAACGAAATGGAGTATGATGGTTATGTGAATGGTGGGAACTCATCTGATGACTCGGACGACGAGGAGCTCATGTTGGCCTTCGCTGCCTTTATTCTTGCTGGATTGGCCTTATTCGACCCGTACATCAACTCGGGCCAGCGGCGAAGAATTCGAGATAGTGCACAGTCAGGTCCTCAATATGTTATCGAGCTGATAAACGGCCATCGAGACAGAATATTCGACAACCTTCGAATGGAAGCTCCCCTTTTCCTCCAATTGTGTGACTTGTTGGTTCAGAGGGGCTATTGGGTGCCCCACCCGACACAACGGGTGGGGATTCATGAGTCCGTTGCTATATGCCTGCTGTGTTTGAGCCATAATGAGCGACATAGGGTGCTTGCCGAGAGATTCCAACATTCTCCCGAGACAACGGACCGCCATCTACGACGCTGCCTTAGATCTCTCGTTCGATTGGGACGCGACCTGGTCCGACCGGTAGATTATCACACAACCCATCCAAGAATACAGAACAGTGCTTTGTTTTGGCCCTGGTTTAAGGTTATGAGCTACTATGTCAAATTACTATTTCATTTTGTCTAACAGCTGTGACCAACTTATGTCTAGAATTTTTTTTTTTATTAGGATTGCGTTGGAGCGATTGACGGAACACATGTTTCGGCCTGGTGTACAGCCGAAGACAGGGAACGTTACCGGAACCGGCATGGTAGCTTATCACAAAACGTTCTAGCCGTGTGTGATCACAACATGAGATTTACTTATGTCAGGGTAGGGTGGGAGGGTAGCGCACATGATTCTAGAATCTTACAAGAAGTCATACAAGATCCTAATTGTGCATTTCCGTGGCCACCAGCAGGTTAGTCCAGATTAAATCACATAATTCCTTTCCGCAATGCGTCTTCAAAGTTTATATAAATATAATTTCATTATGCCAGGGAAGTATTATGCGGTGGACGCAGCTTACCAGAATATGACAGGATTTATGGCTCCATTTAAAGGTGCACGGGGAACCGCGCAAGAGCGGGCAGTGAGGATACTTTTCAACAAACGTCATGCATCGTTAAGAAACATTATAGAACGTACGTTTGGCGTCTTGAAGAAACGATTTCCAATACTTAAGGGCCCTATGCAGAATTACATGATGGCTACGCAAAATAATATTGTCCTGGCTTGTATGGCCTTGCACAACTTCATGCGCGAGTATGTTCCAAATGATGCATATTTTGCCGAAGAAGAAGCAGATATAGCATTGGCAGATAACATAAACCCCTTCAACCCAATGCCAGCAGCACAAGGACCAGATATGTCGGCTGCAGGAATTGCTGAATGGAATGAAAGTAGGAGAGCAATAGCCGATATGATGTACTATTATCAGCACCAGTAGAACATCTCCTGTCATTATTTGTTCAGATAGTAGGCCCAATAAATTGTACACTTATGTCTCGTCTATGTATTAAAAAATTGATAATTGTTTAAGTGCAAATGGCACTCAGTATTTCGAACACAGCCCTAAAAAAAATTAAATGTTGTTTTTCAAAAACAGTGAATCCATACACGCTTGTTTTTCAAAAACACTCTGTTTTTGAAAAACAACTAATCCAAACAACATTGAGTGTTTTTCAAAAAATGAATAGTGCTGTTTTTAAAAAACAACCCCAAAAACAGCTAATCCAAACGGAGCCAATGATGACGATTACCTCAAAGGAAGGGGGTAAATAAAGGCGAACTTTACTAAATCTCAGGGTTAAGCCTTGAGAGACGGAAACAAATAAAGGAAATCTTGGCTTCCATTGGGTGAAGTCATGGTACTAACGTAAGATTGGTCGCAGGCAAACAAAACCGACAAAATCTAGTCTTAGATCTGCACAGGTACTGGCGACTGGCGCTGGTGACTATACCTAACCACGGAAATAACCTCACCCACATTTCTTCTTTACTCTCCTGGTCTATCCTGACACGTGTCAATTTTAGACAAGGACTGCGAGATTTCCAAATAAAGAGGAAAGTTGGCCCACGCCATAATTCTTCTGGACTTTCCAGCTGTCGAGGTAAGATGGGCTTGGGCTTTTCACTGGATATCCAGTCAGAATGGATGCCGGCAACACCTCCACGTTCCTAATCCCTCCCGTCTAGCAGTACATCGTTCAGCGTCAGAGACCGGCCCGGGATACAATATGTGTGCCCAAATTTATTGGACTTGGCTTCTATAATCCATGGTGTATCCTAATTCATCTGCTCGACCGATATGTTGGATTCTTTTACTTTTTATGTTTAGATGGAAAAAAAAAAATTGTTTGTTTTCTAAGAAAAAAATATTTTGGCAGTAATTTACCTCACTTTTTGGTTCTTTAAATTGTTGGAGATTTACCACATGAAAATAGTTGGAGCTTCTTACCTCATTTTTTGTAATTTCTATTGAAACTCTACTGTAAACTTTTTAGTTGAAAAAACACTTATTAGTAGTTTCATATATATATATATATATATATATAAATGCGTGCGTGTTTATAAACGATTATGTAGTTGATAGTGCGAGTTAATTTAGTAAAATTTAGATTTTGATAATCTATAAAGTATTTAATTATTGTAATTAAGGGATTTTTTTTTTGCAATTACCATATTGGAGTCATTTAGGAATGAGTGTATATATAAAAAAAAAAAGATTAGGAAAAAGGGCTTAAAGTTCTTATGATTTTTGACTTGGGTTTGAAATTGGGTAACCTTTTAAGCAATTTTAAACCTATTCCAATTTTCCTTTAAAAAAAAAAACCTATTCATTCAAATATTAAAATCAGAAATGCTATGGGAATGAAAATTGACAATGACAAAAATGCACAAACTGTGTATGATTCCCAAACCCTCGTAAATAACAAACTACTCCTTAGCAATTTTGGAAGAGAATTTCGCTAGGGTTTAATATCCCCCATTTCTAGGCTATCTTCTTCTCCATTTCCTGCACAGGACACCTGAACCCCTGCTCCTTCTCTCTCGAATCCATCCCCGTATCGAAACCAGCCAATCCGAATCTTCATCGAATCCCCTTTCTTCGAAGCTATTACTTTCCTGTATCATGGGTAAGATTCATTTCCGGTAAATCTTTGCGTTTTAATTATTCTGATCAGTTTTTTTTTTCCCTTGGATTTGGAAGTAAACTTGAACTTTGAATGGTGTATATGCGTAGATATTGAAGAGGAGATTAAGGCTCTCCAACTTGACTCCTCTGGTATAAGTACTTCAATTTTTAGTACAGTTAATACTTACTTTTTATTTTGAATTTCTTTTCCCATTTTTAAATCATTTTTTGGTTCGTTGTTGCTAGCAGAAGATATTGTTACTGGTAATGCTAATGGCGAAGAAGATGCTAAGCCAAACGATGTTGTTAAACCTGATGAAAAAGATGAAGGTGGATAAAATTAATTGATGAATCACTTTGACTGATTAGACTTGTTTTCGCTCTTGGCATATGATGGCTTTTTAATATGCTTAGACATAGAAGAATTGTGAAATTGTCGTGTCTTTGTGGTTACGAATTCTTCTGATGTTGTTGTAGGTTCGAAAGATGTGGCAAATGCAAATGCTCCCCCCCCAGCTGGTGTTGAGCTGAAAGGCACCTCAGCAGGTCTCTCTGTGTGTGTGTGTGTGTGTTTTTTTTTTGTTGGTTCTTTTCTTGCCTGTTCTACCACTCGCTGAATGTGGATTGTGTACCGTTATATTGAAGAAACTCTGTGGAGGTCGTTGTATAGTTTATACTTGTTCTTTCAATTCAATAAGCTTTTCTAATACTTTTGGTACATTTTCTTGTTTATTCAGTGAAAGAAAAAGAAACGCCTGCACCTGAAGTTGTTGAAGATGAGGTGGAAGAGAGCCAAAAGCGACATTTGAATGTTGTGTTTATTGGTCATGTTGGTAAGATAAAGTTTTCTTCCTCAATTCTAATTATATAGTTATTGAAGGCTCTAATTCTTTTTTTGACCATAAGGAACCCTATTGCTTGTTACTAAGGATGTTGATTTTGTGTAGGTGCTCGACTTCGTCATTTGTACTATCTTGGTAGTGTAGTTGTAATTTACTAAATTGTTTTTCTCTTTCTTTTCCTTATTATGCTCAATTAGGCTGGTTTTTTCCTATTATTTTGAAGGGGAAAGCCATTCACTGACTGCCAACGCTCTCCAATGCACGAAAACTACCTGAAAATAAAGAAATGCTGCCACAGGGATTAATGCAAACTTTTTATTAATAAACTAGTCAGGACATTTTAAAGTTTTTAGGTAGACCTTTCCTGAGTTGATGCTACTGTACATTTTTCAACGCTTAGTAGAATATTTATCTTTCTCTGATGCCTTTTATCTAAAGTCAGTTTCAGTCAGTTTCGTAGATACTCCTCTCTTGTTATGCTATGAGTTTTTTGTAATCTGCAAACTGTATGCTTGTTAGTGCCATTAGTTGTGGTTTGATGTGAAGTAACAATGACTCTGTTTTTCATTGGTTCTTTATTTAACTAAACAGTCAGTTGTTTTAGTTGTCTAATGACTTTGAATTACTTTGGATTGTGCATGCCATTTCCAAGTAGTTATTTGGGCTTCAAAATAGAAAGTTTGGTTAAGATTTGAACATTTGTAATATATCAGGGAGTTACCTTTGATTGGATTTGAATTGCAGATGCTGGCAAGTCAACTACAGGGGGACAGATATTGTTTTTAAGCGGTCAAGTTGATGATCGAACTATTCAGAAATATGAAAAAGAGGCAAAGGACAAAAGCAGAGAGAGTTGGTAAGGCTCATTTGTTTCTTAGTTGTGCTTCTCAATCCTGATTGTGAAAAATGTCAAATGGATGTTTTGTGCAACTGCTATTTCTGATGGAGGAGAGGGAAACTCTGGAACAATGTTCTAAGAGTCCTTTTGGATTGGGTGTTTCTAGAAATTTTACTGTACATTTTGTTGATTTAAAAAAAAGGATGGATGTTTTAGGGGTGTATTTTGAGGCATTATTGTGCCTCAAAATTAAAATCCCACCTTCACTCTTTGGCATTATTGTGGCGAACCGCCATCCCTATCATGAATCTCCCTCTCAACCACCTTCCCTACCGCAATCCTCCCTCTCTCCCATCCCAATCCTCTCCCCCCCTCCACCACCACAATTTCTTGCGACCCTCCTCTGCCCTAGCAGCATCACTAGCCGCTCAGTGCTGCTTCCTTCTCCCCTCCATCTCTTCTCTGTCCTCCTCCCCCATCTTTCCACTCCGCAATGCCCTCCATCTCGCAAATCTGGTCCTGCAACCAGATTTGGTCTGGGGGAAGATCTGTAAGGGGACGGGGACGGGGACGGGGAAGAGGAGAAGGGAGGGGAGGGGTTGTGGATGTTGGCGGGATGGGGAAGGAGGAAGGGAGAAGAGGTGGTGGAATGGAGGGGAGGGTGGCAGGGAAGGAAGTGGAGGGTGAAGGTGGGGATGGAAGGAAAGAGGGGGAGGAAGGGGCGGTAGTGTTGGTGGGGGGTGAGTGAGGTTTGTTTTTTGGGGGGGGAGGGGAGCGAGGGAGGTGGCGGCAGTATTGGTGGAAGTGGGGTGAGTGAGATGGTGGTTGGGGATGGTCTTGAAAGGAGAAGGGGTGGTATTCTGTTAGGGTGGTTGTGTGTTTTATGGGATGTTTTTAGGTGATTGGTGTGTTGTCTAGGTGTTTTTTGGGAGGTTACTGGATTTTGTTGGAAAAAAACTTGCTTTTAAAAAACTTCCAATTCAAACCTAGCCACTATAAATTTTTATTCATTATTTTTCCTTCACATGTTTCAACTGCATTTCACTTTGCCAATAGTCTCTCAGTGCCTTTGAACTTTGTTTCTTGTGTTATTAGCCTTTTACCTCCAACCTCTTTTGATAATTTTCTTCGCTGCAACAGTGTGCACATTTGCCATATATGCTATGGTTGTTGTGCATGGCTATAAGCTATGGTTATGTTAGACATCTTATTTGTTTGTCATGTCTTTGACAGTACTTGCTGTTTCAGGGCTTAATGCTTACTATGCATGTCGGAATAGTTGTGATAGATAACTTTACCTGAATTGATGGTATGCAAGGAATAGAGAGATTAATCTTTTGTGGCGAGTAACTTTCACTTTCATATTATTAGAATTCAATATATTAATTATCTAATTGAAATGGGTAGTTCTGGTTTCTTTGTGGCTTTCTTATTTGAGATGCTGTACGAATGTCAAGTTAATGTGTAAAAATCATTGTTTTGCCTTATTTGAGATGCAGTACGAATGTCAAGATAATGTGTAAAAATCATTGTTTTGCCTGTTTGTTAATTGCTGACTTGTTTTTGTTTTAGTTTCTTTGTCACTGTTGATCTAATACAAGCTTGCTTAAATAGTCTTTCTGACAGTCGTTTCCTTTAACCAGGTATATGGCTTATATTATGGATACAAATGAAGAAGAGAGGGTCAAGGTACAAAATTTTGTCTCCATTGCCTGTTTTGTTTTGCTGGGAGAATTTCTGTTATTCAAACTTTTGTTGCAGGGTTTGCTGTTTTAAGTAATTAGTTCATTTATTCTTTTTTTGCATACTCTGAGTTTGTTTCTCTTACTGTTGAATTTATTATTGCTGGTTTTAGCAGATTCTTGATTTGTTTTCTTTGGAGGTTGTTGTTTTATCCTTGTTTATTTCTCGTTATAGGGAAAAACAGTTGAGGTTGGACGTGCACATTTTGAAACAGCGACGACTAGATTTACGATTCTGGATGCTCCGGTATACTGCTTTTCTTTTCTTTTGAGCTTCTTATCTGTTCTCCTTTGAAGCTTGATGCACAAATTCTGAAGCGTGTATGCAAATATTAAGCACCTCAAATTAACAATATCAGAATTGCATGAAGTGCAGAGCATAGTAACAAGCTATGAGCTATTCCAATGTGCATATCCACTGTTTTTTAATTACTGCCTCATTTTGTCCTGTTTGGTTGCAATATATCGAGTACTTTCTGTTCATACCTTTTTGTTTGATAGTGTATCAGTGTAGTATTTATTTCTCAATCAATGTGAGAAGTCCTGCATTCTGATTCTGAATATTGACCCATCTCACGAAAATCAGGAAGTAGGAAGGCAGTTTTGGTAAATTAGAGCATCTGCCATCTTATTGGAAAAAGAAACTTGTGACCTACTTAATCTAATTATATATGCATAGACAATGGTTAAAAGTCCCTGTCACATATTTTTACAGATTTGTTTCTTGTCTATATGTGTGAATGCTCGTCAGAACATTCCAATTGAGATTTTACTACAAACTCAAAATTTATAGTTTCTGTTTCCAGGCATTTAGTGTACTTTGACAAAATTGAAGTTTTCAATTAGATTTGGACCTTTAAGCATTTTGTGCAATGTTGCATTGCATTGATCTCTTACAATAATCGTTGGCAAAATCTGGAAGTATGCTGTCCTTTAAGGGTTTCAACTGACTATCTGATTAGAGGCAGTTATTCAAGCAGGGGATGAAAAACTGTTGGACCTCTTTCTTAAAACCTGTAATTCTGGGGAAGATATTTCTGCAATTTCTTTGAAGAGCAATTTTATAGTTAGTATTATATTCAAAAGAAGACATGAAAGAAGATGAACTGATTAAAGAAAGGCTTATAGTGCCAGAATTTGAGATTTGGTTTGTTGATTGTGAATATTCTATTTTCCTTGATACCTGCTTTGAGATCCTTTCAATCTATCATTCACAAGCAAGGCTAATAAAAGCTTGTGTGTCTAATTTTTAGGGTCATAAAAGTTATGTCCCCAACATGATTAGTGGAGCATCTCAAGCTGATATAGGAGTGCTGGTAAGTATTTTTTTTGATATGTCTGTAGTTCCTTATTGAGCTTTGACAGATTTTCCATTTGTGTTTATTGATCTATCCCTGCGTTCAACTTTTGTTCCATTCAGGTAATATCTGCTCGAAAGGGTGAATTTGAAACTGGATATGAGAAAGGTGGACAGACGCGCGAACATGTCCAGCTTGCAAAGACTCTTGGAGTCTCTAAGCTACTTGTTGTTGTAAATAAAATGGATGAGCCTACTGTTAACTGGTCAAAAGAAAGGTGTTTTCTCAGATTCTGCCTTTAGGGTACAGATGATACGTGATACTGTATAGAATAGTTTCCAATATTACTCCCTCTTCCCCTTTTTCAGATATGATGAGATTGAGACAAAAATGCTTCCTTTCCTGAGATCTTCAGGTTATAATGTCAAGAAAGGTAATGACACATTTTTTTGGGTTGTTTAATATATTGCTTTACTGTATTTCTTGTTTTCAACGGATCTGTCTGCTCACTACTTTGTATTTCTTGTCAATTATTGTGAGAGATACATCTATAAAGTTGGTCATATAACCTTCTTCTCCATATGTTAATGTTATGGGCATTTCTTTATTGTTTATGTTTATTTTTTGGTTATTTAATTTTTTATTGTGTTTGAGATGTAGATGTACAGTTTCTCCCGATTTCCGGGCTTGTGGGTTCAAATATGAAGACAAGAATAGACAAAAGTATATGCCCTTGGTGGAATGGCCCTTGCCTTTTTGAAGCTCTTGATGCTGTTGAAGTTCCTGCACGCGATCCCAAAGGTCCATTTAGGTACAGCATATGACCTAAATTTTTTAAACTTGTCTAATCTTCTTCCTCTTCTTGAGGGGTTAGATGTGCTCCCAACTTTTCCTGTCTTGGCCAGTCACTTTGTTTCTTGTCTCAGTTTTAGTACTTTAAACTTAGATTTAGGTAGAAAACAGGAGTTTATCTGTGATTAGAATCACTTTTTGATGCTTTTGTTCAATGCCTAAAATTAGTATCGTCTTGTCTATTTTTCTGTGTTGCCGTATTTTTCCTGTGTTGCATCTTTCACTTAAAATGCTCGTCTTACTGCGCCATTGGATGATATTCTCCTGTCAGTTTCTTGAAAAGACCAAGGGTCTACAAAATCAGGTCCTTTTTCAACGGAGTCTCATCTAGGGTATTTTATCTCAAATTTTTTGCACCTGTTGCATTTATGTGCTTGTGCACAAAATAAGCCATTGATTTTCCTTCCCTTGTCTTACAGAAGTATTAAGGTGATTTTGCTTCAGTAATTAGGTCTGGTTAGGACTGCTGTTTGTTGTTTAAATTTCTTGAGTGTGTTTTCTTTTTGAAAGCAATTTCTGTTTCTTATTCTCTTACATCACTAGTAACATTTTTTTCAAACTTCTAATGTTTGTCTAAATAGAATGCCTATTATTGACAAATTCAAAGACATGGGAACGGTGGTAATGGGCAAAGTTGAATCTGGTAGCATCCGTGAAGGGGATAATTTGTTGGTCATGCCAAACAAGGTGCTGTTTCTAGCACTTAAATGATCTCTCGTATTGATTTCTGTGGTGTTTATTGGGTGGAAACAGTTTGAAAATCAAGGAAAATTTATTATGTAACATTTGTCTAAAACTGCAGGCTCAGGTGAAAGTTGTTGCCATCTTCTGTGATGAAGATAAAGCTAGGCGTGCTGGACCTGGTGAAAATTTGCGGGTGAGGATATCAGGGGTTGAGGAAGAGGAAGTGTCAGCAGGGTTTGTTTTGAGCAGCGTTGGTAAGTTCCTCGTACATTATCTCTCATATTCAGAGAAAATCATCTTGGATTTTGAAAATGTAGTCTTCTTCAGTGACACAGCGAATCAAATTCTACTTTAGTAGTATGATTGTGTGGAGAGCTACAAACTTGTTCTAAGTAATTAAGAGCCCTGTATTGGTAAAGAGAGATAAAAGGATAAAATTATGAAAAAATAATTAATGCTGCATGGAAATAATACAATGAAAGATAAAAGTACTTAAGAGCAAATTTCTTAAACGTCAGTTATAAAAAAAGTTATAAAAAAAGGGAGGGAGTAAATTTTTGTTGAGGAGCTACATATATAGGACGGATGATAAGAGACACACAATTTATGGGGAATGATTATTAATTGAATCCAGCTGTTCCTGACCTTGCCCGGCCGCAGCTTTAACCACTAAATAGATTTTGACCATATTTATGGCCTTCATTTTTTTTTTTTTTTGAAAAAGTGTCCTTCAATTTCAAACCTCAGACATTTTGATGGACATTTAAGCCATATATTTCCTAAGTTTTGTACCTTGGCTACACTCGTAAATCTTACTCTTTGGGCATACCTGAATAAACTAGTATGCAAAAAAAAAAAAGAATTTTTTATCAGATACTTGTTAACACACCTAATATTCACCTAATTTATCATATATATATATATATACACACACATATATATATTAATAATTATTATTTTTTCTTATATTTACACGTTTTTCCTATTTAATCTTGTCTACCTTCACTTATATTTTTTTTCTAATTAATCATATATTATCAAAAATATAATAATTACTTAACGAGTACCTAGGACATCCATTAGACAAATTAAACAAAAAAAAAATCAGCATCTCCAAGATTTACAAAAAAAAAAAAAATTATAAATGTTCTCTTCCAAACACCAAAAAAGGTAATTAAAAAAAAAAAGCCCACTTGTTAAGGGATTGGTTAGTGGGGTCAGAAAATTGCTGGCTGGTTGAATATCTTCCACAAACACTTTTCTTGACGTTAGTGGGCAGCTGCATTTGTGTCTTTAAGACAGTGGGAAATATATCGTCCAAAGACAAAGATTATTATTAATTAATTAATAATATCTTACTCCAGGAATGGACCCTAACTTACTTCCCTTGCCTTTATTTGGGAAAATTAGAAGAACCAAATGGCATGCATATTTCTGAATTGCACTACTCCGCTGTAGAAGACCAGCTGTGGACGGGTTCGGCAGGAATATGAGAACAGAGTACCCATTTCCGTAGACATACATTTTTTTCCTAATACAATAATAACAATGATTTTTTCCAATAAAATACCAGCCTTTTATGTGTTTCCCGCATTACAACAACAGGCTACCCATTTTCCCCCTTTTAGCTGTGGGTCGAATAACAATGCAACCATTTTCGAAGAAATGACCAGCTCTTTACGGCATTCCTCCATTACAACCAATTACATACCCATTGTTCCATACACAACTTAATTTAAGAGATAAAACACAGATAATAGGTTTTCTAAATAAAACACCACCTATTCGGGGGTTAATCCTCCGTTATAAGATGATGGTACTCATACACCGCCAAATTATGTATTCATACACCGACTGAATTAAAAACGGGGTGGATTGGGTTTTTTTCTAAATTTTTTTCCATTAATTAGTTTTTAATATAATTTTTGGATTTTCCCTTTACAAATAATAGTAATAGTTTAATGGTATGTGGACCTTGATTTTCCTTCATATTTTTGAACTATTCTACACCATATTATTTTTCTTTTAAAGTATTCATTTGAATTCTAGGCCTGGGATTGTATTGAAAATGAAAATAATATTTTTACATCTTTTTATATTGTGCTACAGAATAATTATTAAAATATATATACATACGTATATATGTATACATATACAGAAAATTTAAAATAAGTGATGCCTAAACTATTCAAGATTTTCAGTTTTGATTATTAATCTTTTTCTTTACATAAAATGCTCATTCAATTAATACAAACCTATACAGAAAATAAACCCCACAGTTATAAGATGACGGTACTCATACACCACCAAATTATGTATTTGAGTTATAAAGTAACCCTTGTCCACTTCAACATACGGTTTTCTTGGGTTTGCTCCATTGTAATCGGAGTACCCATTTTTAGGTATCAAAGCGAATCTACTTCAATTCACGTAAACAAAGACTGGCGCCAAGATTTTTAGCTCGGTTGGCGGGGTTAGTCCCAAAGATGACAAGACTGGCGGCAGACTGGCGCCAGTCTTGCTTATAGCACAAGAATTACAGCCTCGTGGACGGATGGACAGATATGTGAGCGGTCATTTCATTGCTAGTGGCCCACATTTCATTTCGTTGCCGGTGGCCCACCTTCCACTGTGAATTCCAATGTGAATTCCAATGTGAGAAGTAAGATTTCGTCAAGCTTCTTGGGTTTCGTCAACAAAATGTAAGAAAAAAAAAGTAAAGCTACTAGATTTCTTTCTTGTCCTTGGACAATAAGCATTGGTTGGAGGTATCAAAAAGAATTATAAGGAATGTGTAGATGACATTTTACAATTGGTGATGTCCTTACTTGTTTTCTTCTAATTTTTTATTTTGAATTTTACAAAAATTTATTTTGACCAATACAAACGAATCAAGTTCAACCTTTCGGACTAAAACAAACCAATGTATTTCAAATTTCAAAGGATAATTTTAGAAACCGTTAGCCAATTTTGGCGAATGATTTTTCTTGAATCCTTGGAAATTTATATGGCACTTTTTACTTTGACACCGACTGAATTAAAAACGGGGTGGATTGGGTTTTTTTCTAAATATTTTTCCATTTTTTATTTTTTATATAATTTATGGATTTTCCCTCCTCAAATAATAGTAATAGTTTAATGGTATGTGGACCTTGTTTTTCCTTCATATTTTTCAACTATTCTAGAGCATATTATTTTTCTTTTAAAGTATTCATTTCAATTCCAGGCCTGGGATTGTATTGAAAATGAAAATAATATTTTTGGAGTTTTAACGACCGTTATACAACTTTCAAAACAAATAAATTCATTCTAAATTTTTATTTGGGATTATTTCATAAACCAAATCCTGGTCACTTTCCGTAAAATATCACTTTCCCATAAAAGCCTAGCTGTTTATGGCTTTCCTCCATTATAAGAATAGAGTACCCATTTTCTCATAAATTAAAATATTTATCGTTCGCCATAAAATAAAAATAAATCTATTTTTCAATAAAAGACCAACTTTTTATAGCTTTCCTCCATTATCAGAATAGAGTACCCATTTTTTCATAAATAAATTTATGTATCGGATAAAATTAAAATAAATCCGTTGTTTAATAAAAGATCAGCTCTTTATGACTTTCCTCTATTTTAAGAACAGAGTACCCATTTTTTGTTAGACAAAGTTATTTATCAGATTAAATAAAAATAAACCCATTTTTTCAATAAAACATCAGTTTTTTATGACTTTCCTCTATTATAAGAATAAGAATAGAGTACTCATTTTGAAGGCAAAAAGGAATTTGTTTATCGGATAAAATAAACATAAACTCATTAATGTCAATATTGACATATAGCAAAATGCTGGCCCACCTCTCAATGTGATTTTCAATGGGATAAGATTTGCACAGTACATATAGCAAATTGTCATAGCCCCTGTTCCTTCACATGTTACTATCAGACGGTAATTGTCATGGATTGCTTACAACTTATTCCGTCCAAACCTTTTCTTATAATGGAGTTTCTGATTTTATCCAAGTAATAAATTATTTCAGGGGAAAAAGGAAAAATAGAAAATTTATGGACGAAAGTCACAAAGAGCTGGTGTTTTATTGAAAACCATCGACCCCTTACCAAAGACGATCAAATGCAGCTAAATGATTTTCTTGCAACAAAGTTGCCGAAAGCAGCTTTGTGACTGTAGTTGCTAATTTTTTTTTCAACCATTTTTTTAGCAAGAGGTATCATCATTAATGTCAATATTGAGATATAGCAAAATTTGTATACCAAATAACAAACCAATTTGTCATTACAAATACAAAACGAGCAATAATATATTACAACCAATACTATCAACACTACAGATTATAAATCAAATGAAAAAGACATTTTACATTTCTGTTGGTCAGAAACTTTTAGTGAATATCAAATTTTGGTTCAAGACTATTAAAAGGATAACTGAGCTGGGTGATGGTGTTTCATGTCTTCTCGAGGTCTACTAACAATGTCTTGTTCATTCCTCGAAGATGATGATTGACCACCTGATGGTGATGCTGCATCCCCTCAAGTTGAAGAAAGTGGGACTCTCATGATTGTTCAAATCAAATGCCGCTTTGTTTTCTCAGCTTATGCAGTCTCATATTTAGTTTAAATTAATGTGGGGATGGAGAATTTCATAAATCCTTGCTATTATTTTAACCATCAATAAGTTATGACAAATGTAAAAAATTTTAGTTAGAAAAATTTTAGCTTATGCAGAGTTTATTTTTTAAAATGCCCATAAATACAATGACCATCATAAGTGTTATTTCAATGTAGATATATTGGACCCAACTTCTTGAGCCCGCCATGACGAACCTCCCGTACAAGCTTATGCTTTGCAAAATAACACTTTGCTACCAAATCCCCTTCATATCTTGACTTATACTAGAAATTACAACAAAGACTTGCAATCAAAATTAACGAAATCATAAGCAATCCAATAAAACAAGTTTCTAAAATCTCCCAGGTCCCAATTCGCAGAATAGTTGCTGGAAAATTTGAAGCCTTGAGCTTCTCAGACGAACCAGAAGCAGCGGTCCCTTTAAGCTCTTTTTTACTTGAACTTGCACCCTTAGGTGAATAAGCTTGAGAAAGCCTCATTTGGATCAATTCCAAAAGGGAAGGACTTTTCCTCAGCCTCAATCCCAATGGACTCGGCTCGTCTAATGGGTTATACTGAGCCGGCGGTACCACCGGAAAGCCACCCACTTCCCCACTTCCCTGCTGCTACAGCCAAACCCCCCTGAAAGTACATCAGAAATTGAACTTTGCAATCATACAGACAAGACCACATCGAATAAAATCAGGAAAAAAAAACCCAAAATTCACGACTCTC